GGTGTAGCAGAGACCCCTGGGCATCCAAAAGGTCGCAAGATATTTATGTCCCAGCACCTAACTGCAGTCTTTTTGCTTTTAAGTAGTATGTGTTGCAAAGAACAGTAAAGCTGCAGTAATTTTTAAGCAGCTCTCATAAGCCTCCCATTGCCAAGATGATGATTCTGTAAAAGAAACTTCCCAAACACTGAAGGCAGCAATGGGCTTTAAAAGGTAAATACGGAAAAACTAAAAAACTAAAACCATATGTTACTTCAGTTGTAGGTAAAGCAACTCTGAAGGCTGTAAGAAGGGAAAAAAAGAAAAAAGCTTTGCACTATAAAGACCGGGCGAGACTCTGGAGGTGGGAGGCCTGATTCCCAGCCACAGACTTTTTCTGTGCTTGAGCATGTCCCTTGCCCCTTGGGAGCTGTCTGCCTAGTGCTTGTCATCTTGTCTCTTCTGGTGGAATAAAGGGCTTATTAGCTCGGGTTCAGCAGCACACTAATGCAGTCACATAGGGTTTGGATGAGACCCTTACGAAGTGGCAGGGCAGGCAGAGGTGACGGCCATGGGCCAGGCCACACAGCTGCCTGCAGGCCGAACTCAGGACTGGGCTTGATCTCCACACAAAATCTGCTGCTCTGGAAGCTGGTGTACACCATTGGGCAGCTGGCCTTCTGCCATGTGTGTTGGTGTAACCGAAGAACACACAGCGATGGCACGCAGCCTGCTCATGTCCGCCAGCTTGTGTTGCCCGCCAGCATCACTGCGCATCCGCCCTGTGTTAATAAACCCACTTTGCACCACTTGCTCCTAAATATTGGCATGGGTTATCCTGATAGATACGTTTTTAGCAAAACAAGTTAATGAGTTGCACACGATCATTTTCTATTTAGCCTCTCACAGGAAAAGGGAAAAAAAAAATTATTTACAGAAAGTTACATCCAAAATTAACTTAATTTCATTCATATGCTGCTAGTACAAACAGCACTGTTATAGACTGTGCTATTGCAAAAATAAAATTTGCCACAAGAATTGTCTTTATTAAAAAAGTTAATCTTTGTGGGGAAATATCCCTAGCAGACAGGCCACGGAAGGGCTTATCCCCTTGCCCGGAAAATCTGACCCCATCAGCTGGTCTGATAAAAGATATTAATTCTTCTTTCTTTTCTGCCTCTTTGATATCCTCTGACTATTGTGGCAACAACATTATTGCAAATTACTATTATTATAAAATTACATGATTTATACTTTTTTCTTTACTAACATTTCAGAATTCATTCAGTATACTTGTTTAAGTGGTGAATACTATTTAGAAGGAGATAAATACTGATTTACATTTCTAAGTGTCTTTTAACATAGAGAAGACACTGTCAATGTGAAAATCTGTGGGGAGTGGGAGATGGCTTGGAGGATGGAGAGAATAATCATGTCACATTTAAGCCTGTATGATCTGTTTCCATAGAAAAAGGTTAGAGATCAACAAATTCTCAGTTTAGTTCAGTAATAAATGAAGGCTGACTAGGGCATTAAGTTTCTGGGGGAAGCATTAGCCAATATGTACAGCAGCAGCCTCTGGTGGTCTAAGAAAAAATGGTAGTATCTATAAGTAAGGATAGAAATATGTTTTTTAAAAGAAGTATGCATATATTTAGCTATTTGACTCAATTTTGCATTCAACACATTAAAAAACAGATGCTTTAAAAACAATTTGCTGGCAATACGCTTGTTAAAATCTGAATAGTAAGACTAGTAAAATTCATATTGCATTCATTAACATGTTACATAAAAGTAAAATGCTTTCATTTAATATTTCTATAAAGTATTATAGTCAATACTTATTATCAAGAAGTTTTCTCCTTGGTTTGCCTTGCTAAAAAAGAAACCAATTTTATAAGATTGTTACTGAATTGATGATATTTTCTGTCTTCACTCATGAATTCACTTGGCAGATGTTTTCAAGAACAAAAAATTCTGTTTTATTACAAAACATATTAAGCAGGTTTTTCTGCCATAATGTTTGACATGATGTTTATTGCCCAGACCAAATCAGCCCCTTTAACAAGCTATAACATATGCCAGAAAGTACATTATTTCATAGTTAAAGAAACTAACAGCATGAAACAATAAGTACTTTGATCTTTCAGGCACTGCACTTAATGCACTACACAGTCTAATAGTCGTTTTTATTTATATTCTTTTTTTGTGTGTGTAAAAATAGAGTGCAATTTGAGATTTTGTATTTTAAGACTCTGCTTTTACTTATTCCTGAATATCCCAGCTAATTTGCATTTTCCTACAGAAATAAAGAAAATACTTAAAGAAATTTGTGGGAGTGGGAGAATTTCATTTTTGTACATCTTGGAAAATCTAACTGCACACACTGGACCACCAGCCAGACACCTTTAATTTCATCATGCAGCATTTCATCAGAATACAACACTGTCTTACTGACCCTATGATAACATAACAGGATATTTATTCCCATTTCTTAACAGTCAGAAACATCTCCAGTATATCTGGCACACACAAATTATCCTTCAATGTTAGATGCAGTGGATGCCTTCACTGTATCTTGAAGAATGTATCTACCACAGCTGTTGAGAGGAAATTTTTGATATTTGTACCCATTTGCCTTACTTTGCAAAGGTGATCTAAGGCTCACCCTGTCTTTTTCAAAATTATTCAATGATATTACTACCAAAACATATACCATCTTTAAACACTTCTGTAAAGTATGATTTTTCTTCCTCTTATTCAAGATGTTAGTGAGTCAAAAGCATTCCTTACCACGGGGCAAGTAAAATTCATTTTTTTTGCATTTGAATTGCTCTATCAGGTTGCCTAAGACTAGCTCCAAAGATCATCATCCCACAGCTGAAGTAATGCAGGCAGTGATCCCAAGGTGTGAGAAAAGGGTGCTTTCAGTAGCGTACACAGTTCAGCAGACCCAAGCATGGGAGGTAGGAAATGCACTGTTAGTATGGCATTGCACTGTTTTGTTTGCATCGTGCTATGCCTAGTGAGGTTATCAACAGAGCAGAGCATGCTATATTCACAACTCCTCTTGCAACCACTCATCTTAAGTTTTTACAGACTTAGCAGTTCTACCTAGCAGAATAAATGGTATTCCATCATTGATCCAGTTTTGTTTCAGAAATTAGCAGGCAAGTGAATTGCAGTAATGTATCCTGCCACACACCAAAGCAGGGACATTTTTCATTCTGTTTCAAAAAAACTCACTGCATCAGAGCCTATTTAAGAAACTATATATATATATATATATATATATATATATATATAAAGGTATTCTTTCAGAATAAAACACCAATTGCATCAGAAAGCTCAATTTCAGTTACTGCACCCAGGAAAGCAGACTACCACATACACTTTCACTAAAACTTCTTCCCTTGGTTTGAAGAAAATTGAATAAAGAGAATGTGAACAGTCATATTTGAGGCACAGATCCACGTAAAAAAGAAAATGGTATGGAGTCATGCATTTTATGTTTTGGGGGTCAAACCTCCTGAAGCCAAATTTCATACCTCATCAAGCAAAAGAACCACAAGAAGGTGGAACTGCTAAAAAGGTATCAAAAAAGGTTTACTTTCAATAAGAGGATACTGAACCAGCATGCTGACTAAACACATTTCAGGACAACACAACAATGTTCACCGGCTTCTGATGCAATTTGACAGAAGCCTCACTGCCCTCTTAAGAAACAGAGTCTGACCGCTAGGAAGAATGGCATATCTCAAAAAAGAAGCACATAGATAGAAAAAAATTAAAATAAATCACACAGTAGCGCTCTGTTAGTGACTTTGAATATGTATATGGATCCTTTTGTTTCCAGTTCTCAGTCGTAAGATGTTTCTTAAAAGATATGGTAATTTTTATGGTATTCATGATTCTTAGCGTCCAGGTTACAAAACCTCTTATCCAGTTAGTACTGCTGTATTTCTCCTAGAAACACTTCAGTGTTATACCACAATTAAATGGAACACTTTACAATTAAAGAAGTTTCTAACGTCTCTTGTGCTGGATTTTTCTATACTTCACAACGGAAAGACGGTGTACATTTTTACTGATTTAAGCATGGTGTGGCTTTTCTGACATGTTTTACTGTTGAATGAAAATGCTAACTTTCATAATAAAGGCTTTGGATATTGCATGACTCAGTCTCGAATGTATAATGCATAGTATGTATATGAAGCAGAATGTGTCAAAGTGCAAATAATATTGTTTGTGCCCCCTGCAGAATTAGAAATCCTCGGGTAGCACTGTTATAACGATCCCATGCTGGTAGCATTACAAAGTGCAAAGGTTCACTGAGTAAGAAAAGAGCAGGGGACAGAGTTTCCTCATTACACCATTCTCGAACTATTCTAGCTTAAATATTTATTAAGATATTAATAACTCTCCTCCTTTATCTGCCTTCAGTAGTTCAGCTGAAACACAATGGATGGCTGCTCATATGAAAACAATACATTATAGGGTAAATCTGCTACCACGCAAGATGAACACCAGTATTTTCCACAATACATTATTAATTCAGCAGGTAATATGTTAAAAATCTATCAATCCATAACTACTGCCTCCCCAGTATATGACAGTGTAATACAATAAATGCATGCATGACATGTGAAGCTAATGTGTTGCCAAAGTTGCACTAGAAAGTGTTTCATATGTACACCTCTGTTTATAGAATCATTTGTACAAAGTCTTCCTTAAATCATTCTCTTTCTTGATAGCACCAGTGCATTCCTTTGGGGTTTATTTGAAGTTCCTCTTTGAAATTAGAAAGGACTGTTTTGTAACTCTTCCAAAACTTACTTTACATTCAGCAAGTGACAAAAAATATCAATAGAATAAAGAGCTAAGAACTCTGTATGAACTCTTGAATGTCACTGCAGAAATATGTTTGTTTTTAAAAAAGCATGCTATTTATTAGTTAATATGGACAGCAAACATATCGATCCATTAGTAAACAAGGACAAACAAAAGTAAAAGAAACTTACTCTAATATACATCTGTATTGTTTCTTTTTCCTTTTGTGGATTTCGATACTTCTCATAGAAGTCACGTCGTTTCTTTGTTTCCTTCTGGATTTTATCTTTTCTTTCCCTCTTTTCTGCAGGTTCATCTGAGCTATCAGAAGACAGCTGTACTTGGGCTTTTGTCTTCTCCACTTCAATATAGTTCTCATTGGGATTCAGTACTATTACTCCATAGCCTTCCTGTTTTAGAAAAGACAAAAAAAAAAAAAAAAAAAAAAGGAAAAAAAAAAGGAAAGATATATGAAAAGGGAGATTTGATACTTGAAAATGCTTTCTGTTTACTTTAACGCTCTTAAAAACACATATTTATTTCAGTAAGTTCACATAACATAATTTTTTAGAAGAACATTTTAAGAATATTGTTTGTTTCTTTTCTGTCATTAAAGGGATATTGATGTGTGAATATGTCTGTGTGTGCACTTATGCATATACACATCCCTCGGCATCAGAAAAGTTGCCTGATTTACCTTTAAAATAATTTAATATGTTGTTTTATTCATAAGCATGTTATATGACTTTTTCAGAAAACAGTATTAAAACTATAAGCAAAATATTATTTTAAAAACTCTACATAATGATGAATAAAAAGCTATATACTCAGCCAATAAAAACCTTTAAAGGAGAGAAAGGATAGAGGGAATTCATATATATATTAAAGAAAGCATGGGAAGATTATTCAGCACGGTTTAAAATAGTAAAACCTTTTGTCTAGCTGACAAGCATACGCTGCACAAGCCAACAGCAGCAGTAACAATGAATCAATACTAAAACTGATTCAGTGGTATTGCTTACAAGTCAACTATTTTACTGTGGAGAAGACTTTTAAGCACATCTTTAAATCTGCTCTAAAACTTCACTGGGATTATGTCCCATATTCAACAAACCCAGAGAAAATTTGTGACCTGCAGGATGCTTTTGAACATACCAGCTGCATTTTTGTGCCTTGGAAAATGAGCTGGTTGAAAAATACATGAATTTATGAATGAGAAATAAATCTTGAATAAATCAGCCAATCATTTTATTATGATTTTTAAATGATGGTAAATCATATAAGAATTGTAATATTTGTGAAAGATAATCGCAAATGCAGGGAGAAAAAGGGAAGCACGTGCATTTAACAGATGAGTCCTTAAAGTTACCATGGGTTCCCAATGAAAATCAAGCTGTCCTTTAAAAGTAGATTTTAATAAAGACTCACTTTTTGAAAATGTCTACGCTAATTATCTAACGGAACAGCTTTATTCCAGCTTTTCGTTCAACGCTCAATTCTGCACTTAGGCGAGGCGAGAAGATCAAAGAAGTCCACGTACCTAGCTTCACCAGAGTAAACCACATCTACGCTAACAAAAGATACTTTATTTGGGCTTCCTTTATTCTAATCTGTAGAGCTATTCAAAAATCTTGTAACACATTGTGATCACTGTCAGGTAGACAGATTGTCACTTAGTGATTTTCTACAGTTGGACACACTCGACTAGTTATCAAAATCACATTTGAAGGAAGTTCCTACCCCTCTTCCTTGTGCCCGCACAACTTTTCACGCCCTTCTCAAATTTCTGCCATAGCTTCTCCTCCCACCAAAACTAAGCTAAAGGACACTGTTGCACTCTGCTAAACAGGGTGAAATAGAGGCATTCACTACACTGTCTCTGGTGTAAGGGACATCGTCAAAAAAGGTCACCATAGGCCAAAGAGAAAATTGCCTCCTTACTAGATTCGGTACCGTGAGTAAGTGGTCTCCTGTCATGTTTCTTCCCTGCCCTCTCCGCTGAGTGAATTGAACTTAGGTAAATATAAATAAATAAATAGCCAAATAAATAAGCGGAGGGAAGGGGAGGGGCAAAGAGAAACAGGAAACAAAAGGAGGCATGGCTCAAAAGCTACCCGCGCCTTCACTGCCCGTATCGACGCACAATACCACATTATCAGCAGATAAATTTCCAGCTCACAAATTTCAAAGCCCCAAATCCAGCACAGGAGAGAACAGCACTTCAGCAGATACGTGTTACTAAATTACTGGGGATGAAAGCATGACTTCAGCTTGCTCACTGTGGAGCAGGGACTAACTTATCCCCACACTCATCACCAAGCACTTTGGTGGTTTCATCGCGCAACACAGCCTGCTCCCTTTGTTGTTCATCTTCTTGACCTGCTCTTTCTGAGCAGAGACACTCTGCGTATCGATTCCTTTTGCTTTCTATACAATGCCAAATGCAAAATTCATGTATTTGTTATAGGTCTACAAGTGTTACAGGAATTTGAAACCCTGTGTCCACTTTTAGCTGACCACAAAACAGACACATAAATCATCAAAGAAGTAGAATTTGTCTAAGTTATTGATTATGTAACTGAAAATTACATGACTCATTTGTCCAATTTTATGAGGACACAATGTCAATTTTTCACATAGACATCAACAGATGAAATACGATTCCATTTTTAAATTCCCCATGTCATAAATCAATTAGAGGATTTTTATCAATTATATTTTAAGCAGCATAACGCATCTCCCTCTACGCTTTAAAGCTTCTTTTTCCCGAGATAGCATGGCTTTCCTGTCAGTACAATTAAAATAATTAGTAATAACTGAGTTTTTTTTTTTTTTTTTTTTTCTCATCTGTGGGAAAAACTATCACCTTATAATTCATATGAATTTCTCTTGGGAAAATAATATACTTAAGATTGTTTTGCTTATGATTCCCTTTCCCTTGTCCTCTGCATCTGAAATTAAAACATGTAAACAGTGGTACCAGAAAGATTTGGTAGTAACAAGCGTTTGATAGTAGTACCACATAGAAACTAAGTCTGGTAAAACTGCACATGATTCCAGATTTAGTCAGCCTTAACCTAAACATTTTTTATTTCTATTAATTTCCATTGAAAATGAATACTTAGTTTTAGATAACATCAATGTAAACATGTATTTTAAATTCATTTCTTAAAAATGCAGTCATATGAGCATGGCTGCACCACTAAACTTCAATGCGATCAGAAAATAAGAAAAAAAGGTGGAACTTTTCAGTGTGGTTGAAAAAAATGCAAATTAATGCAAAACACAATAAAAATAACCCACTAGTACTTAAAAACAGGCCTTCAGGAAACTTTAATAATAGGCAAGATGCACAATCTTTGGCATAACTATTTAACAACCAAAAAAATCACATTCATTAATAACTTTAAATAGAAGTTGTTGTCAGAAGTACGTACCTCACAATGGCATTAAAAATACCAACTTCTGTTCTGATGAACTTGCAGCATTATTAAAATGTAGTGAACTAAGCTGAAAATAGTTACTGTTATTCTGGAAAGTTTAAAGTGTGATATGTTTTCTGTGTATGTAATTGCGGAGTTGCTTTTTCTATGCATCCAGTGAATGTAGAATGTTAAACCACTGTGCAAAACGCACAGTTTTTTATCAATGTAAAAAGTCAAATTTTGTAACAACAGTATGAAAATTTTCCATAAATCAAACATATCTGATGCCACACAGAAGTCATAGTTTGTCTGCATCACCCATTAGTGTATCTTTGATGAGAAGTAATAATCAGGATAGGCACTGATAAATACAAGTTCCAGTCTCTAATCTACGAGCTCAGGGGACACAATCACAGTCTCTTTCAGACTGGAATACTCTATAAACAGCTATTTCCTGCAATTCGCTTCAGGATAAGTTGGCAGCAAAACATCAACTATACCAATTGCTATCAACCTCCAAGTAACACTTCTGGAGGTAGAGGAAATGATGATAGAAAGGGAAGACAGCTGAAAAAGTCAAGTGTTGGAAGGAATCAAAAATCTCAGTTACAATACCTTTACTACAAAGGCAGAACAATGGAGAAGGGCCTTTTTCACCGTAACGCAAGCCAGAATTGCAACTGTGCTTTGTCACTTACTGGAAGCTCAAGCGTGAGTTTGAAATTGAAGGAACATAAAAATTATTGCATCTGGCAGTAAGATTGAGGTGGGAAAAAAAAAAAAAAAAAAAGAAAAAAAAAGAATCTCAAAGTATTTGAGGTAAACTCTCAATCTTTTGAAACCTCTTCTGCCTGGCCAAATGAATAATGAGCTGAAAGCATTCAGTTCTGCATATTAATCCACCAAGATGGGATACCATATGTGACCAGAAAGGTCAGGGCTGGAGAAGAATCTTTTGACCTATGTAACTATGTTTTTGGACTGCATGCAAGGGTCTGAAAGAGATCGTTTTCCTAAGCCTTATCACCCTGAATTTCCAAGTTCATACTTCTGTATGGATTGTTTGCAGCAAGACCAGAGTTAATTCCCAAGGGAAATGCAACTCCAAGTGTTCGTCTCCTAAACCTGCCTGTGGTTAAAACGGACGTGGCAACGTCCATTCATCTTTCTGAAAGATGTACGTTGTGTTTATTCCCCATCTTTTTCACAAGAAGGGTACATATATGTCACTGTTGCGACATCGTAGGTGCAACAGCGGGATGAGGTCATGACAACCAATCAGAAGTCACTAGTGAAGCGTTAAAGTAAACATAGCTGTTGGAGATGCAGCTCAGCTTGAAAAATGCCCCCTCCATTATTTGAGCAATTTTCTCAAGACGTGACCTGAGACTGAAACGCCTGAAATGTCAGTTGACTCCGCTTTCTGTTTCCACCCTATGTACATTTTGGCAACTGCACCCTGCTAACACTTTGCAATATTTTCGTCCCAGCTACACCTCAGCTCTGGGCACACTGAATTCCAGCGCTGTGTCCAAGTGTGTAAAAATGCCGTGTTACTGCCAAACACACATTGTCCCACTAAGTTCCCAACTTAAAATAGCTCATCAAGCTAGGCAGGAAAAGAAAACATGCCACAAAAAGTTTTTAGAGGACCACCTGTTGTCTATTATTTTTACATAGCACTTACTCATAAATCATAACACAGGGTAATTAATCAAGCTGTCAAAGAGAAGGTCAAAGGTTATGTGGGGGAGTCAGAAGGTCATGCATGGGCTGATAGAGGTCAGGGTCACACCGCATTCCTCATTATCAAGTTGGGATGAGAGACGGCCCAAGCAAACAAAAGTGAAAGCAGATGGAGAAGTGAGTGGATAGAAAAAAAGAAGAAAATTTCACAAACAAAAAGAAAAGTGAAAGAAGAATGTCAGTTGCCTTCAAACAAGGAGGAGAATAGAACAGAAATACATTGAGATGTTCTCAAAAGG